TGCAAGAATCCACCAGGCCTGAACAAAACAACCAATCAGAGCCAAGAAAGATAGTTGATTGTTGAGTCTCATTCTCAGGTTATCAAATATAGATGCTTTAGGACCCAAAGTGTCAGTATTTGACAAACTTGGAATCAACAACCAAATTGAGTCAAGCCTGCAAGCTATTTCAGGCAGTTAACTCAAGCTGCACTGCTATACACACGACATGCCTCACTCCATAATCACTAACCAAGCACACCCTTCCAATCTGGTGGTCCATTCCCAACTCTCCCTCTGCTCTGTCACTGCCACTGCTGCCCTGCATCAGTATTGCTGCCTGCTTTTCTGTAAGCCCCACCACCACCCCAGCATCCACCTGTAGGCTCCAGCTAGAGGGTTTAAGGTATTTGCTCATCACTCCCCATTATCTCTATGGAAACATTTCTGCAGGGAGTGATAAGCAAATACCTTAAACCCCCTAGCCGGAGCCTACAGGTGGATGAGGTCGGAGCCTAGATGCCAAAATTTAACTATGCTAAACTGCTGTAATAAACATTTCAAACGTGAGTTGTCGGACTGAACTATCTTTCTTGGTTCTAAATGGCTGTTTATATTTAGGTGCGGTGGATTCTTGCAAATACCAATAGGAGCACTAGGAGGAGCGAGAGGAACCTGATTTTTCATAGATTATCTGTCTCATGTTCTACTGTTAGGATATAATGAAGGTTTCAGCAAATATGACGAATAATATTTTTTATAAAAAATGACCAACTGCAGCTTTGAGGAACAACAACTAACGCTAGTTACAGTAGACCCCTACTTTTCTGCCAGTGACTCAGCAGGTGTTGCATGACCTGAGCAGAAAGCAATGTCTCATGGGCATCAGTGCTAACGTAAGCAACTGAGGCTAACTGACTTTCACTATTCTGAGCGGAATATACAGTAACAGCACAATGGGTAAAATTTTAGGTTTTTTTCCAAATAATTAAAAAATACACCCATTGATAAAAATATTGCATGATAATTGTAAGTTGATTTTGTAGTCAAACAGATACAGATAGGCACAGTGCCCTGATATGTGAGTAAGATCAAGCCAGAACTAGAAGACGTCTGTAAAAGCATAACACAAGGAGAAAGTTGTTGACAACTGACACACAAAGCAGAGGGAAACCTTATCAATCCTCTTTCACATGTCAAACACACAGGCCATTATTTGCTATAATTTATGAAAAGCCCAAAAAAGTTCCAGTCACAGAACATTTTTGGCTAACTTCTGACATTACTCCCGTTCATGCATTAAAGTATTGGCAGAAAGACAAGAAGCAGAGGACATGATCATGTTGTTAGTAAATCCAGTGTGTCTTAATAGATTGATTGCATCATTAAAGGATCACACTATCTCGAACAGAAATTCTCAGTATCAGCCTTAATTTTGAATACCCGTCTACCTGCTGTCATTAGTGGAACCTTCCGCCAACCTCTGAAACTTGCACAACATTAAAAAATAGTTTACATGAAAAACCATGAGAGCTTGGCATTTTACATTTAAGTTATTTCTATTCTTGCTTCCTTTCAAATGAAGAGTCAAGTCAAAATCAATTAAAATAATAGGTTCCAACATTAAGCAAATATGTTATGGCCTCTTCCATCCCACACCCAGGATCTCAAACAAAATTACTGGAGGATTTTCTCTCGTGTGTCAGGTAGTTTGAGGGCCACCAGGCCACCACACACCAGCGCAGCGAAGGACAGCAGGATGGGGACAGCTTTGCTGACACCCACAAAGCTGGCGAAGATGGAGCTCCCAAGCACTGCGGCCAGTTTACACAGAGCGTTCAGCACACCAAATGCTGTGGCCCTGAGGGACAGAGACAGAGACAAGACATGGGCTTTAGAAGAAGCCTTCCTAAGTCCCGCCCCTTTTGGAACCTCGGGCAACTTCCTCCTTATATGTACTTAGATAAATACTATGTGCTAGACTAATCTATGTTGAGAAGACAACCACATTTTGAGGATGTTTTAAAGGTAAAAATAACATATAGTCACATCTTAGCATCTGTTTTGCTGACATTGATTAACTGGTTAAAAACCAATTTAGATTAGCTAACTAAACAGCTAACTAACCAGCTAATGATTGATGTAGATTAGCTACCTAAAAAAAAAGTTGATTGACCAGGTATTTAGCTAGTACTTTGCTAAAATTAGCTAACTTAAGAT